ATTGAAATGACAAACACATATGCTTTGGTTCTTGTGACCTTGTGAATATTGGTTTGACAACGGATAAATGTTGACTTGACACACATAATATTTGGGAGAAGAAGATTTTAATTTCTTAAAGGTGAAAGAAAATATCTTTCATTTTGGATTTTAATCTAACAATCAGTCATCAATTTGGTCAGTGCTGGTGAAATTCTAATTTTCAACTTGTTTGTTAGCGTTCATCTTGCAGACAGTTTCCAGAATTCAAAATACTTGGGTGAAACAACCACTTATTTTCTCTGCTACATCAGCAAATCTTCCTTTGGGGATAACACAGTCAATCTTCCCTCTTTTTCACAGGGGTTGAAGAAAGAAATGTCTCAAAGTCCTGACTGTACTCATTCAATGTCTACAGCTGGCAACACAGAACAGGTACAGAAGTTGGGTTTTCATTTTGAATTTACCAAACATTTTGGATGGATTTAAATCTAGTTTCCTTCCATGCTGGCTGTGATAGAGCACAATCATTTAAGTGAATATATCTCTGTGAATTAGTCAAGGGCAATATGGTGTTGATGTGTATTCATTTTCTGTTTCAGATCAGACCTGAAAACAACCAGGATCAGATGTCAACCGGTGTCCGAAATGAGACAGATCCAGTCCTGGCTTCACTCCCCATCAATTCAGAGGTATCTTATGTTTAAGGTGCAGCGAGATGTCAGTCAGCCAACTTGTTCAATTTCAGTGTGTCTGTGTGTGTACCCGAATGCAATATGGTTTATCTGGACATTGGTTCGCAATGACAGTTTCGTGTGATGGTTTTCAGTTTGTAACCTCAGTGTGTGTATGTGTGTGTTTCATGGTTACCTGTCCCAATGTGACACAGGAGGACAATATTGTATATAGGGACCTTGCGTTATTGCATTGATAAAAACATATGTTTCGGTTCTTGTGACTTTGTGAATAGTGGTTTGACCTCTGATAAAAGTTGACTTGGCATCACTTAATACACTGGGAGAGAAATTTTGTTTCAATTTTATTATTGTTAAAAAATATATATGTATGTTCAGTCTATTCCCTCACCTGTATAATTAGGTGAGCGACTATATGTGGTATGTGTTGTAGTGATCTTCACCACCATTCGCTCTGAACCAGCACTAGGCAGCAGCTCCGCAAGGAGAAAAGACTACCGTACTCTTGGCATTGCGCTGGTAATTTTAAGGATGCTTATTGGTCCCCCAAAAAATGACAAAAATCCAGACATTATCATTATTCAAAATTCTCCCAGACCGAACTTGAAATTGGACCTTATGCTGCTGACAGTTAGCTTTCGTCAACAACTTAGGTGGAAGTGAGAAAGCTATACAATGCAAGTAATAACCCTGGCAGAACACGATGTGCTAAATAGTAAAACATAAATTAACAAAGGTTTGAGGCAGAGAAATTTTCCTCAAGAAATTTTAATAATGGAGGTACCCGAATCACTCCCGGGATAATTTCAGCCATAATATGTGTGTATGTGTAAAAATAATATATATACATACATTCACTGCGTGGCCAAAATAAAAGTCGCCACCCAAAAATGGTCACACTCGCTAATATTTCGTTGGACCGCCTTTAGCTTTGATCACAGCCCGCATTTGCTGTGGCATTGTTTCAATAAGCTTCTGCAGTGTCACAAGATTTATTTGTATCCAGTGTTGCATTAATTTTTCTCCAACATCTTGGATTGATGATTGGAGAGTCTGACCACTGCGCAAAGCCTTCTCCAGCACATCCCAAAGATTCTCAATGGGGTTAAGGTCTGGACTCTGTGGTGGCCAATCCATGTGTGAAAAAGATGTCTCATGCTCCCTGAACCACTCTTTCACAATTTGAGCCCGATGAATCCTGGCATTGTCATCTTGGAATATGCCCGTTCCATTTGGGAAGAAAAAAAATCCATTGACGGAATAACCTGGTCATTCAGTATATTCAGGTAGTCAGCTGACCTCATTCTTTGGGCCCACAATGTTGCTGAACCTAGACCTGACCAACTGCAGCAACCCCAGATCATAGCACTGCCCACAGGCTTGTACAGTAGGAACTAGGCATGATGGGTACATCACTTCACCTGCCTCTCTTCTTACCCTGATGTGCCTATCACTCTGGAACAGGGTAAATCTGAACTCATCAGACCACATGACCATCTTCCCTTCCTCCAGAGTCCAATCTTTATGCTCCCTAGCAAATTGAAGCCTTTTTTCTGGTTAGCCTTACTGATTAGAGGTTTCTTACAGCTACACAGCTGTTCAATCCCAACCCCTTGAGTTTCCTTTGCATTGTGCGTGTGGAAATGCTTTTTTTTTAATGTGTTTAAACATGTGTTAATTTATTCCTTGTAGTGTCAAAGACATCACCTGAAGTGCACAACAGTATCCTCTTTGGAGAAGTGTACTCAGTGTTTTGGACCTTGTTCTTCATTCAAGTGGGTTGGCTACCAGTGCAAAGGTAAGATATTTAGTGAATTTGTACCGTGAATTAATTAACTGAATAGGACGTATGTTTTTGTTGAATTGTTGACCACGGACAAATTATAGTTTCAGAATTGAGTATACAATGCAATTGATGTCATCATGGTGACTTTCAAAGCAGTGAAAGTTTTCAAAGTACCTTTAATCCTTTACCCTTGATCTTTATTTAAAACAGAACGTAAAATTTTATCCAGAAAATTCAATTTTGCACATTTGAAAAAAGATCATTTTTAATCCATATTTAACTTTTCAATCTGATCTTAAAGCAGTGCTTCTCAAATAGTGGGGCGCGCCCCCTTTGGGGGGCGCGGTGCAATACCTGGGGGGGCGCGTGTGACCCTGGGGAACAGGCTTTTTTTTTGGCCATACCAGTATAAAGTGTAATTGCACACAGTAGGCGGCAGTGGCGCTCTCATTGTTACTTCTGTCACGTTTGCGACAGTGCAACATTTTACGACTTACAAGACAACAAGTTTGCCTTGGTTAGCAGTGTTAAGTCAACAAAAAGCTCCGACTGCGTTCTGTCTAATAGAAAGTCAACCGAAAGCTAAGAAGAGGAAATACGACGAAGCGTATTTAGCGCTTGGCTTCACTGTGACTACAGTTGGAGAAGAGGAAAGACCGGCGTGTTTGCTGTGTCTAAAAATGCTCGCAGCCGACAGCATGAAGCCAAATAAATTAGCGTCACTTAAGTACGTGACGCGCGGTCACGGTGGGGAGTGGAGGGCGCGAATAGTTTTCTTCTTGCTAGGGGGGGCGTAACGGAAAATAATTGAGAAGCACTGTCTTAAAGTAAGGTGTAATGGTTTATGTGAGATTTTGGATTTCATTTATCTTCTGTTTTTTTTTTACATTTAAATTTTTCAACAGGTTGTTCAAAAGTCTGGCATTCATACTGCCTTAAACAAATTACAAAGGATGACAGATCCCAGGTTAATATCCACATATGTCTTTGTGAGCTTTATCTTCAAAGTTTCTATAATAACATAAATTATATTTCCCACAATTTCAGGCAAAAGAACTTTTAAATATTGCACAGCTGACCTCTCATCAGATAGCAACACATCACCTTCCAAACAATGTGAAATGTCAGATGAAGACCATGCATCTGATATCGACTACGTACCAAATTCAGAATCTGCAGAATCTGATGAAGACTCAGATGTTAGCATCCCCCTTCAGCCCATCAAGTCTAAAGTTGACAAATTCAAGAAAACCCAACAATACCCAATCTCACTTCATTCTTGCCAGACTCAAGTTCTGTGGTGGAACCTGACATATCAAATTACTGGCCTCCTTTTCAAATAGATGATATGGATGATGGCACACTCAAAACATTCAGCCCAGTCAAGGCTACCAAAGACTCAAAAAATAAACGAAAAAGTCAAAAGAAGCCCAACAAACAGGAATCTTCTCTGATTACTATGAGTGTTAAGAACTACTGCTTTGTATGTGGTAGACCACAGAGCAAAATTTCACGGCATTTAAAAACCCACAAGACACATGCTGAAATTGCTTATGCTTTTTCCCTTCCGGAAGACTCAAAAGAGCGCAATGTTCTTCTAGAAAAAATGAGAAACAAGGGGAACTTCAAACATAACTCTGAGGTTCTACAAAGTGGGAAAGGATCGTTGAAAGTTAAGAGAAAGCCGAAAGCAAAGACTGGAACATTTATACATTGCATGTATTGCCAAGGTATGTACATTCGAAAGGAACTATGGAGACATGTCCGAAGATGCCCTTGTAAGCCACAAAATGAAGATTTGAACCAAGGACGTGGACGAACCAAAGTACTGGGTTTTGCTATGGCTCAAGAGTCTTCGTTCTGTCAGGAGATTTCAAGTGGGGTTTGGAAGCTCCTTGGTCCCATGAAACAGGATGATGTAGCCACCATTGTGAGAAATGACCTGACCATTATTCAGTTTGCCCAGTCTCTCTACAACAGACACGGACAAGACCCTACCAAGTATGAATATATCCGACAGAAGCTCCGTGAAATTGGACGTCTGTTAAAATGTCTGCGGTCTGAATTCTCTGTTCATAACTTGGAGGAAGCTGTGAAACCTGCTAACTTCCAAAAAGTTGTCCAGGCAGTGAAGATTGTCTGCGGTTTTGATGAAGAAAAGCATTCATACCAAACACCAAGTCTTGCACTAAAACTGGGAAATACACTACATAAAATCAGTGACATTATCCATTGCCGAGCACTCATGGCAGAAGATGAAGAACTGATTAAGTCAACAGACACTTTCAAAAAGCTGTATACATCCAAGTGGTCTGAGCTAGTGTCACATACTGCCTTGAACACTCTGAGCCATGCCAAATATAATAAGCCATTAACCTTACCATTCACAGAAGATGTTCAGAGTCTTCATAGGCATCTTAAGAAATCTGGCGAAAATGCATTTTCTAACTTGAAAGACGAGGTCAGCCCCCAGAATTATGCAGAACTTGCAAAAGTTACTCTTGCACAGGTCATTGTGTTCAATCGAAGACGAGCTGGAGAAGTCTCAAAGATGCATCTCAGAGGTTTCCAGCAGAGAGATGACTCCAAGCTCCATGAAGATGTTGCTGCTGGGTTGTCCCATGTTGAAAAAAAGCTATGTAGCTATTTCAGTCGTGTTGAAATAATTGGGAAAAGAGGTCGAAAAGTTGCGGTTCTCCTTTCTCCAGATGTGGTGGATGCTCTGACTCTGCTGATCAGCAAAAGAGAGCAATGTGGAGTTTGCTCCACAAACATCTTTCTTTTTGCCCGACCAAGATCTCAAAGTCACTACAGGGGCCAAGACTGTTTGCGTGTTTATGGAAGCCAATGTGGGGCGAAGCATCCCGAGTTCCTCAGGTCCACACAACTCAGGAAGCATGTTGCCACATTGTCACAAGTCCTCAACCTCAAAAATAATGAAATTGACCAGGTGGCTGACTTCTTAGGACATGACATCCGTGTCCACAGAGAATTTTATCGCTTACCTGTGCCAACAACACAACTGGCAAAGATTTCTAAGCTCCTTTTGTCCATGGAGAAAGGACATGTATCCACCCTGCAAGGGAAATCCCTTGATGACATCGAAATCGAAGGTTATTGATTTTTTTTTTTTTGTAATCTGATTTACATTAATCCAATGTTGATGATGTCTGACATCATCAACATTTGTTAAATTGATGGATTTCAATAAATTATTATTATTGGAAGATATTACATTCTCTAGGTTAGAAAATTCTAAATATAAAACGTGTTTTGGTAGTGCTTAGATATAATTTTATGTATGACATTGATTTGTATCCTAATAATGCTTTTCAGATGAAATAGAACTAAGTGAGGATGAAGAAAAGGAAGATTTAAATGACTCAGATGATGGCAATTCTGTGGAACCTGAGGAACCCATGGAACATGAGAAACCTGTAGAACCTGTGGAACCCGAGCAAAGCAAGAATATGGAGGATTTGTGTATGTTACATGAATCTAAAAGTGTTATGTTTTTTGTCCACTATTTTATTGTTGTTGTTTTGTTTTTTTTTTTGTTTTGTTTTTTTAACTTTTGTCATTTGTCTTAGTGGGAGCAGTGTCATCAACCGCAGAGGAAACTATCCCTCCTTTTGAAGGCAAGTCATGTTTCCTTATGGGCCTGTGTTTTGATCCTAGCTACATTTAGTGAAAGCATAATTTTACTGCAGCAACCATATTAACCATAAGCACTATATGCCATTTGCTTGAGGCATGTGCCAAACTAGTAAAGAGTGTTATGACTGGCATAACAAAAGACAGGAAGACATAGAGTTTAACAATAAATAAACTCTTTCTTGAGCACAAGCATGAAATAAAACTAAACCAAAGCAACTTCTTTATTGTCCACAGAAAATATGCTTTTGGGAGATTGCTTTTGGTTCTGCTTGGACATTTCTCATTGTCCTTCACTCAATTTCTAGTAATTTCACATTTTTGAAGCATTATATTCCAAATTTTTGTCCACTTTCTCAGTTAATTGATTGCAGACAAAGTTACAAATGCTTGTCCAGCAGCCATCTTGATGCAACTGGCCACTAATAATGTCTCCTATACATAGTTTATGACCCCTCTATACTGTCTATATAGAATGTAGTTAAGGTTATCACAAATTTTGAGAGCCTTTTTCATTGATCGCTATCATGAAGCGATTACATCTTTATTACTTTACATTGTCTGGATTCATGTGGCTGCAGTTCGTTCTCACAAAATTTACTTTCATGATTGAACAATATTTTTGTAGTGAGGAAGTCATCCTGTGTAAAGGTAGCAGGTTTTAAATTTTCTGTTCGAAAAAACTGTTTTGATAATTTTTTTCTTTACTATTTTTCTTCAGAGACCTCCTCTGGTTCACCCAGAAGACAACCAAAAAAACCATGGTCAAGTGCTGAGGTTTCTGCTGTTATGAGGCATTTTAAAGTTCACATAGGTAAAGGTAAACTTGCCACTAAAAATGAGTGCAATCACTGCAAGTTGGTGGAAGGTCCTGTACTGGCTCAAAGAACAGCACAAAATATCAGGGACTTTGTGAGAAACCGTGGAATAACTGCTAAGGGCAGGCACAAAAAAAGGTTCTAAATCGTTCGTGAAGCAATTATTTGTTCAGAATTGTTCTGTTTTGTTTATGCAATTAAAACAGTTTTTTTTATTGCCTATCAAAAAATATCTAACGTTTTGTGACTTAGAGGGTGTTGAAATGTAGTTGTGTTGATAGGCAGAATTTTTTTTTCTAATGGTCAGGAATTTTTTCTGTTGTCCGACATAAAAATGATTGGAAAAGTAGGCATAATTTTAATTTAACATTGTTGTACTTATTTATTTATATTCAAAATACTTGGCAACACTCTACACCCTAAAACTCTTATTTTACTTTTCTGTACATTTTGTTGAGGCACTTAAATTAGTATTTCCTTTGTTCATTTAATTTCAGGCTTACTTTTATTTTTTAAAGAAAAATAATTGAATTATTTGGCCATATTTACCTAATAAAAATATGTTCTGTTAATGCTTTGTGCTGTCAGGTTGTGTATTTATGCTAATTAGCAGGTTTTTAAATATGACGTAGTTGTCCCTTTAAAGTCCTCACAACACTTTGTTTTGTTCTCATAAACCATATTTTGCTGATGTCCATATAAGCCGCCTTGGGGTCAGGTTGCTGTAAAAAATGTTGTATAGGTGCTATCTGAAACCTAAAGTGAGCTAAATTTTTTTCAGATTTTTTGCAGCGTTTAAAGCCACCTCCCATTGCTCTAGCTACTCGGGAAAGGGTAGTCCATCTAAACCACCTTCGGACCTGTTTGGCGAAAATGTCTGGCTACACCACATATACCAACATGTGTGTGTGTGTGTGTGTGTGTGTGTGTGTGTGTGTGTGTCTCCCTCTCCGCGCGCAGACAGACACGGGGATGGCGCACCCAGGGGCGAGCGAGGGGCCTGTGCTGGCTCGACTGAGCGCGTTCACCGTTTTTTTTTTTTTTTTTTTTTTTTTTACCGCAGGAAGTTGAGACAAAAAAGGAGCAGCGGCAGGAATGTTTATGAATACCTCCAGTCCCCGAAGAGCTGCGGGCTGACCTGATTATCACCTGCGTGTAATTCCACATTCGGGAGGAGCTGCGACTCCTGGAGGGAAAAAAAAAAAAAAGAAAGAAAGAAAGAAAGAGGGGGGGTTGAATGAAAGGTGCGTGTGTGTGCGTGTGTATTCCATCACTGATAGGTATCATTAAACGTCATTAGAGGGTTGGAGGAGCCTCATGCTGCTTTTGTTTTGTGCGCAATGCTTATTTTTTTTATTTATTTTTATTTTATTTTTTTCAGACGCACTCCAGGAAGATCACACGCGGCACAGCCCCGGAAGATAAACACAGACATTAAAACACACATGGGGGTAGAAAACAACAACAACAACATAAAGAAAGGCAGATATTTATCAGTCAAGCTTGTTTTGATTTTTTGTGTGTGTGTCGTTGCATGCATTCTTTCGACATGAGCGCTGACTGCGGCCTTTTGTGAAAGAGGAAATCAAACGGTGGGGCTAACGGGAGCGAGAGCTCCAACCCCCTGCAGCATACACAAACAGAAATAAACCCAGGCCGCCTGGATCTAACAATAGGACAGCAACTTTGTCTTCAAGGCCGCGGCGAAGTTTGAGGAGTCGCTTAAAAAGCTTTCTTTTTTTTTTTTTTAATGTGTGTGTGTGTGTGTGGGGTGTGTGTGTGTGTGTGTGTGTGTGTGTGTGTGTGTGTGTGTGTGCGTGTGTGTGTGTGTGTGTGTGTGTGTGTGTGTGTGTGTGTACATTTTGTCTTGGCGCGTTTTCGGAGATGGCTGACGTTCCCCCCCTGCTCATTTCCCCAGACGGGGTTTGTGTTCAGCATTCACTGCTGATCAGCTGTGGGGGTTTCGCGAAGCCACAGTTTAACGGGTTCAACGTGTTTTAGAAAGGGAAACACAGTGAGAAGAACCAGATCCCCCGGTCCGATCCAGGCGTCCACGCTGGGTTGCAGGGCGCAGCCACAAAGCGGCTCCATCGTTACTTCAGCGGGGGGGGGGGCGCAATGCATGTCCATGCGCCTCACCGGTTGGCACAATGGATCAGAGAGAGGACACAGCGTAGCTGGGTGCTGCCATCTTCTGGACAAGTCTCACAGGAGAGGAGCATATCCATTATTAAAGATGTTCTTGATGTTTCACTTTATAAATAAGAATTACCTGACTGACCCCCTGTTGTGTCAATATGAACCTATCCAGCATGAGTTGAATAATGCATAGGGCCAAGTCTACTAAAGAGTTAACTGGAAGGAACAAATTGTAATCTGAATTCTTAAGCAAGGAGTATTTGGGTTCAATGCAGGAGCAGTCGGTGTGGAGCGACAAGGCACAACATTGGCTTAAGAGCAATTTCAAGTGACATACATGCTTCAGGATGTGCCCGGGGGAAGCCGGAGGACCCTGTTTGGACATTAAAAATCCAAACAGAAGCCCAAAGTGAGGATCCATTCAGCTGTCCTCCTGCCCCAGCCTGAATGTGTTTTCCTTTTCGCTTAAATCTATATTTAAAATGAAAGGGATTTAAAAAACTAATACACTTCTTACGCAAAATACACACTCAATGTATGACCCTGAATAAAATATTGCATGTGTCTATTAGGCGTGGACTGGTATGGTAACCTTAAAGGAAATACTGTATTTTTATGGTATTAACAATAATAACACAAAAGTTCAAGTAAAATGCATGATATTATGCATGTGTGTTTTTTGAAAGGGCTTTTTTAAATGCATGTTGATTATGTCTGTCAGTGGTATTTGATGTTTTCAACATGGACAGAAGAAACGAGGAGAAAAGGGCTCAGAACGTTGTTTCACCAAACAGATTTGATCGTATAAAGAGCTTTAAAATATAAAGCGTTAAACTCTATTTCATTTAAAGTTTGGGCTGGTGACAGCAGAAACTATTTCTCTTGTCTGTTTTTGGATAATTTAATTTATTATTGGGATGTTTTGGACACATTTTTTTCTAATGTTCTGGGTAAAATTTTTAAGCTTCATTGTGAATTGCTTTAAGCTCTTAAGCAGAGTATGAGTGGAATCGATCTCAAAACTTAAAATAAGTATATAATAAAAAGAAGCCTAAGTAACTCGCCCAGAATATCTCTTCTGGATCAGTTCTGTCAGACCCAAACCTGGATAAAGGAGGAGAGTAAAAATTCAGATGTAAAATAGAAGTAATATAAAACAAACAATGTTTTTCACTTGCTTTTTGTTCAATCCAAAGGCTTATTCTGTGTCCCACAGTCACATTCAGCTAATTATGTAGTTAGCAGGAGATATCAGTGGTGTTTTCCCATGTTTCGGTCAGGAGTTAGAAATATTGACCTGCACTTATCTGCTTCAGACATGCTGCTAACTGGACAGGAATGAGACTGACCGTGTGCGTTTAGTGTCCACGCATTATTTTCCAAAAAGATTACTGTGTTTTAACACAAGGAAGAAAAATGTGGAGAAGTGACTGGCGGTACGTGAAAAACGGGACGCCCGAATTTGGGTCATTCAGCCCCTTTCTTTCTTTGATCTCTCATTAAAAGCAATTTGAACCTCAGAAACTGTTTGATGGATGACATGAGAGGATTTAAAACCTTAAACTTCATGTCAAAAGCCAATCAATTCTTTGTTGAACTTCGCTATCGTTACAATGCATTAACTACTCAACAGGTAAAAGGCTAATCAGCCAACTTAGGTTAAAATTATTAACACAATCCTCTGACTTAGATACGTAAATCTTAAGGAAGAGGGATCTCTAAAATCTCTTCAGGTTGTTGTTTAGCCTAATTGACCGTCTGTGAAAAATATCAAGGCTTCTTTTAGTCCCAAGCAACACGCGCCACAATTTTTGACCTGAGCTTTGTTTCAAACTGCCAAACTTCTTTCTGCCAGCAAAAAACAGCATCTTGGTCATAGAAACAACCCAACACCTCTCCTGTCTGCAGTCTGAAAACACTTTTCAGTGTCTGAGATTTGTAATTCTTTAATCGTACGTGGAGAAGACGTCCCAGGTGAGCAACTTATGAAAGTTGAAATTCTAAGTAAACCGTGTTTCTTTACAGCG